GCTGAGCCTGCAGCCCTGGGGAAGGGCTCGCCCCTCTGCCCCAAGGGAAGCAGCGCCAGCGCCGAGCCCCTCGGGCAGAACCCAGGCCTGGCACCCACCCCCTCACTGCCATGGCTGCGTGTCCTCCTCCCTGTCCTTGCTTCAGTTGTTTTGGGATTTGTTCTCCCTGTCGTGTTCCGCAGGCAGAGCGGGGAGCCAGGAAAAGGCTCCTGTTGTTTGCTGGGTCGTACTGTGGGGTTTATTCACATTCCATATCCGGCTTTTATGGTTCTGCTCCTGCTTTTCCCTTGAGTGTCTCTGTGCTCTTTGTTTTGCCTTCCTTGCTGGGTTTGCAGCACAAGCCTTGGGTGCTCCGTGAAGACTGGGCACCCCTGCAGAGGTTTTTGGCATGTTCTGTATTTGGGGTAAATATTCCAAGCCCAGGAGGGGTAGTTCTGATTTTGAAATCCAGATTTTCAGCTGAGCTCCGCATCTTAAGATCTTGGGGACTGGAATTTCTGACTGTGGTTGTCTTGGTCATTAAATATTAAGTGAGGCTGCTCCTGCTGGAGGGCTCATCCAAGCACTGAAGGCTCTGAGCTGTCAGGGGAAGGGGCTGGGGGCCCCAGAGTGTTCAGGGATGGATTCTGGGCCATGCTAAGGATAAGACCCCAGGAACACTGGCACTGCTCAGATGGATGGGGATGATGCTGCTGTGATTCACTCACTTGGCTGTGGTTGCAGCATTGGGCGTGAGCTGTGAGAGCAGAGCTGGGGGGGTTGGACTTCACACCCTCTGCATTAACACTGCAGGATCCTGTCAGGAGCCATCAGCTGCATCTTGCCTTGGAAAACCTGCTGCTGGCTCCAGCTTCCAAGGCCTCAGCTGCATTCCAGCTGGGAGCAGGGACACAAATGTGTTGGGGCACAGCGAGAGCTGACGCTTCAAGGGCAGCTCAGGGCTGGAGCCACGGGCAGGGAATCTGTGAGCTCCCAGCCTCCTCCTTTCCCTCAGTTCCAAATACTGCAATTCTCCCTCCCTCAGACAGAGAAGCGCCCCAGGATGGAGGGTCACAGCCAAAGGAGCTCGTGGAAATAGGACAAACGCCATTAGCAAAGCCCTGGCCCCGCTGATCTCCAGGGACCTGCTGGGCACTCGCCAGCACCGCTCAGGAATACACTTAGGAAGCTCTGCCAGCAGCCACCGCCCAGACGAGATAGCAGCATTTCCCCCTCTTCCTGCCATCCCTGCTCCCTGGAGTGTCTGCAGGGAGGGGGTGCTGCCCTTCACTGGCCAGAGACAGGAACAAAAGCCCCCCTGGCCAGCTTATCCCAGAGCAGGCACGGCTCCTCCCGGACCCTCCGGGGCTCCCGGGGGTCGGTCCTGCTCAGCAGCTGCTCCTGCAGCCTGACACCCTCCTGGACACTGCCTGGAGCCCATGGACAGCAGACAGGGAGTCCTGGGAAGCACGAGCAGAGCACTGGGCCCAGCCAGGCCAGGAAAGGCAAACCTAATCCTTCTGCATCCATTTAGGGAATGCAGGATTTGTAAATTGTCTCTTTGAGAAACAATGGGGGAGAAATATGCAGTTCTGGGGACTCCAGGCTGCAGCTGCAGATGGTTTCCAATTGGGAGATTCCCACTGAACGTGCAGAATCAGGAAAAAGGGGTTTTATTTTAATTTTCAGTTGATTTAGAGCCTTTAATCTTTGTCAGGGTAGGCAGTGATGCCTCTGGCTCAGTGCCACAATTCCTGTGCCAGGCGCTGCCCAGAGCCCCCCCAGCAGTCACAGCCCTGCCTGGGGTGGGAAAAAGTTGCTGAGCAAGAAAATGTTGGGATTCATCCAAACAGGGAAAGCTTGTGAATGAGCAATGTATGAATGCTGCACATTAAATGTGCCCCAGCACATCTTTGCCCGTGCTGGGGGGAGGCACTGGGGTGTAATTGGCTCTTGGCTGCAGCAGTAATCCCTTGGGAATAACACAGCTAATTAAAGCCTAGGAGCTGGTGACCAGCAGCTTCTCCTCTCTCCCAGGCTGGGGCTGTGCTAATCAGAGGCAGGTAGATCTCAGGAAGTTTTGTGTTAATCAAGGAGGGAAGGACTGGGCTTCAAAGCTTGGTGCTTTGTCAAATCCTCAATGTCCCAAGGGATAAACTGGGGGAGATTTTGGATCCTGCTGGGCAGGAGGGATTGGCTGTGCTGGGCCTGTGTCACTCCCACTGACTGGCTGCCTCCCTTGGGGCTGGGGTTTTGGGAGAAAGAGCTGAAGATGTGAACTGGGGAGCTGCTTTTTCTATCTTTTAAGAGATGTTAGATGCTCCAAATCTTTGGTGGAATGGAGGGAAGTGCAGGTGCTCGGCTCCTCTGAGGGTCAGGACTCACAAGCAGGATCTGGAATGAGGCCAGGTTGGATAGGGCTTGGAGCAAGCTGGTCTGTGGAAGGTGTCCCTGGCCTCAGGAAGGTGTCCCTGGCCTGTGGAAGGTGTCCCTGGTCTCAGGAAGGTGTCCCTGGTCTCAGGAAGGTGTCCCTGGTCTGTGGAAGGTGTCCCTGGTCTCAGGAAGGTGTCCCTGGTCTCAGGAAGGTGTTCCTGGTCTCTGGAAGGTGTTCCTGGTCTCAGGAAGGTGTTCCTGGTCTCTGGAAGGTGTCTCTGCCCATGGCAGGGAGTGGGACTGGGTGAGCTCCAATCTCCCTTCCACCCCAAACCATCCTGACAATCTGTGATTCCAAACCTCAGCCCGTCTGCAGCCACAAGGATGAAAGTCTCTGAGGGGCCGGAGAAGCGAGTGAGAGCCTCTGCATAAAGCAGAGCCAAATCCCACTGTCAGTTCTGGTGTCAAATAATGGAAGGTCCGAGCCACAAATGTTATGGAAATCCTGGAGAAAGTTCTCTGTAGGGAGAGACCTAACCCAGCTCATGGACAAGACCAACACTGCCTTTATTTCTGTGCAAACACCTCAGGGGAAAGGCCAGCTACTGAAAGGTTTTGTGTTTGGCAGGCAAAGGAAGGAGGAACAAAGGCAGGAGCTGAGGATGGACAACTGCAGCTGGAAAAGAGGCACGTGCTGCTTACCAGGAGGGTGAGTAACTGTTGGAATACTTGAGCAAGGAACTGTTTGGTTTAGCAGCACTTTTATATTTAAAAGATTGTGTTTCATAAAACAGTTTTTTCCTAGTAGAAGTTGTAAATGCCACAAGTGTGACTCAAAACTCCCCTGGCATTCCCTGAGTGGTGGCCAGGAGGAGGCACCAGGTATTTTACTGGTTTAGATGTGAGGACTAGTTTAGACATAAAAAACCACTTTAAAAAATCAAAAGCAAGACACATGCACTTGTTCAGGATTTGGACAATGCAAAAGGACTTTCAGGTAATTAATTGGAATTTTGCCTAGAGGAGAACTTGCTGTGCTGGCAGATAACACCTGCCAGAGGTTTCTGGTCCAGCTGGAGAGTGGCACTGAGGAGGGAGGGATGACCTGGAGGTTTGAGTTCTCAGTACCAGCGTGCCCAACTCCCAGTGACTTTCACACAATCCAATTAAATTACAAACACTAATCAGCTGCAGTCCTGCTTCCTTTGCCCTTGCCTTCATTGGAAACTCCAGGTGCACATCAGGCATCCTGCAGGGGAGTTGCACAATGATTTGATGATGTGTTTGCACAGCAGGTAGGAAATTCAAAAGCTTTGTTGTGCTTCTCTTTCCCAGAAATTCCCCAGTCTCCAGCTGAGAAGGAATATTTGCAGCTCCCCAGGCTTTCAAAGGGATGAAGCAGGATCAGAGTGGAAGGAACAGAAATCCAGTCCCTGAAGCAGCAGGTTGGAAAAGGCCACTGGTAACTGGGCACAAGAGCCACCCACGGGTGAGTGACACTGCACACAATGTGGGCAGGGACAGAAACCCACTGGTCAGAGCAAGGAAATGTTAAAGAATTTAAAAAATATTAAAATTTAAAGCATCCAGGTTAGTTCCAAAGTTCAATTTTTGTCCCTGCAGGGTTGTGCTGGGATGCTGCAGGTGAGTGGAACCCAGCCCAGCCCTGCCCAGGGCTCCCTGCAGCAGCCTGGGCACCTCTGCTCTGCACTGCTCCAGGTTTTAGGGAAGATTATTCACATTTCTTTAGGGAAGATTATTCACATTTCTACTAATCCCAAGCCACTGAGGCTTCCCTGCAGAGCTCAGCCCAGGCAGCAGAGGTTTCACAGCTGATCTAAGCCCAGGCCCAGCTCTAAACTAAAACTAAACTAAAAATGGAGTAGGAAAGAGTTTAACAATCAAAACAACTCTGCACAGCTGCAAAGACAACAATGACATTAAAGCACCAAACCTGCTGTGCCTGGAAAGGCTGGAGCTCCTGAATTTCAGACACAGAGACTTCCTGAAATGAATTGGAGATGACACCCAATAGCCAAGGCAGCCACTGCTAATTATTTAATTAAATCATGTACTGAATGAAATCTGCATGGAGACAACTGCAGAATCTGCCTCCAGTGTAAGCACTCCAGCTCTGACAAACCCCAGGAAAGCAGGAATTACAAAAGGCACCTTCTCCAAAACCTGAATGAACCACCACAACAGAACATACAAACATATATACATATATTTATATTTATATCATGGCCTGGTTTGGGCTGGAAGGGACCTCAGAGGTCATCTCATTCTAGAAACATTTCCAAGTCCTCAAGGTCCAGTTACTGTGGAGACCTTCTGCAATCAGCTCCTGTGCATCCCTGCAACATGAATAGATCTGAGACAAGCACATTTCATTTGGAGGTACCTTTACAAGGTGTGCAGATGGACAGGGAGGCACAAAATGTCTTTGCTGCCTTCAGAAAAATGAATACCCAGTAAACAAACTGCTGGAAGGGTAGCATGAACTTAAATGACAGCATTGCTGCAAGCAGGGCCAAAACCCCCCTGCTTCCTATGGATGTCCTGCCAGGTGTTATCTGTGGGGCCTTCAACACCAACCCCCCCTTGGGGAGGGCTCAGCCCAGGCAAGAACCTCACAAGCCCAAGAGCAGAAGTACCAAGCCTTTATTAGAAGATCCATGATTGCAGGGCAGAGCTGTGGCCAGGGGTGCCAGTCCCACCCAGCTGAGGGTGGGGCAGTGCTGCTGCTGGATCTCCCCATTCCCAGGACACCACCAGCCTTTGTCCCAGCCTTTGGATTCCCCTGAGCTGCTGCTGCCAGCACTGAGTGGGCCAAACCAAGGAACTGCCTCTTGGAAAAGCCAAACACCGCGAGGGAAGGGGAAAAAGAAATAAATAAAAAATTAATAAATCACACACTGGACACAGCTATCACTATGAGAAGTTGAATGAGTTGCTTTACATCCACATTGCAAATAATTTCACAAGCTGGGAAATGAGTTTGCTGAGTCTCCTCTTGCCCTGGGGGTGGAGGGTGTTGGTTTGCTGGATCCTGGCACGGGATGAGCAGAGCCACACTGAATCCATGTTATCTGTTGTTGTTGGGGTTTTGAACAAAGTTGATGGAGTAGGAGCCAGTAGATGAATCCTGTTTGATCTGGAAGTTCTCTGTTGACAGGCCAAAGGGGCGCAGCACCAAATTACCCAGATCCTTCAGTTTGCCTGCAGAGACATTCCAAGAGAACACAGTGAGAGCTGAGCAGAGGAAAATCCCGTGGAATTACACCCACCTGCAGCCCAGCCCTGCTGATTTATCCAGCACAGGTAAATGCTGAGGAAATCTCTGTATTTTGGTAATATTTAGGCTCTTAGCAGGAATTAAATAATCACTGTTAAATATCCACAGAGTATGAGAGTTAATAAAGTCCTGTCAGTATATGGATCACACAGATTCCTGACTCTGGAAAATGGATCTTGCTACAGCTGTAAGAGGGGAAGGACAACAAAAGGACATCCCTTTAAAAAATCCTAAATAGAAATTACAGATGAGATAAAGTGAAACAGGAAGCAGAGGTAACAACTTCACTGCTGGCTGCACACAAACCCCTGGCATGACAACACAAAGGAAGAAGATGGCCAGTTTTCAAATAAAAACATTCTTTTCCTCCTGGTTTCAATGTAGAACTGTAGATTTCCCAAAGGAAAAGCAGAAGTTTGGACAAGTTGAAGCCTTCTCAAGGTTTGCCTCCCCAGGCAAGCCCCATCTTTCCAAAAGCTCCCACCTGCACTGATCCTCAGGGAATGGGTTTTGTTTTGCTGGGAGCTGAGTGTGACAACAGAAATTGCTGCCATGGAAAATCCACTGAGCAGCTGCAGCAGCCAAGGGCCTGGAACAACACCTGGGAATGCCACAGCTATTCCTGCCTGGAGGGGCTTGGAGTCCTGAGAACACCCTGGCACTGTGCTCACCTCACCTGGGCCTCTGGGGCAGGGACACACTGGAAATCCTGGAAAGGTTTGGGCTGGAAGGGACCTTAAAATCATCTATTTTACCCCTGCCATGGCAGGGACACCTTCCCCTGTCCCAGGTGCTCCCAGCCCTGTCCAGCCTGGCCTTGGGCACTGCCAGGGATCCAGGGGCAGCCACAGCTGCTCTGGGCACCCTGTGCCAGGGCCTGCCCATCCTCACAGGGAAGGATTTCTTCCCAGTATCTGGAAAAAGACAACCCTACCCCGGAGCCCACCAAAGCAAATGGGTGGGGAGACACAAGTTTCCTTCCTTGATTTTTTTAATGGGAATTCACAGATGAGGTGGTTCAGGGATGTGGCCAAAGTCAGTCCAGCAGCAGCTCAGGTAGGATTCACCTCTTTGTACTTTTTTTTTTTAAGCTACACTTGTTGAAGATAAATTAACTATGACATTCATCCCTTCATGCAGCATCCTGAAGGCATTTTGGCTATAAAAGCATTTCGGTAGCATGAAGATAAATTAACTATGGCATTCATCCCTTCATGCAGCATCCTGAAGGCATTTTGGCTATAAAAGCATTTCGGTAGCATCTGAGTGACATGAAGAGGTTTTTTTGTACTTCTGGACAAACATAGCATTTTGGCTATAAAAGCATTTTGGCCATAAAAGCATTTTGGTAGCATCTGAGTGACATGAAGAGGTTTTTTTGTACTTCTGGACAAACATTTGGCCAAGGCTGAGCTTCAGGTGTGGGGTGAGCAGTGTCTCAGTGGAGAATCCTGAGGAATCTGGCATGGCTGGAGCCCCCCAGCCCTGCAGCTGGGCAGGAGAGCAGAGCTGGCCTGGCAGGACACTGGAGAGGTTTTTCCCACTTGCAGGGAGCTGGATGCTCATTTCCAAACCCATAAACACCCCTGACTGCCTCGGGACCCACCCTGCAGCTGGAGCAGCTCCCCAGCACAGCACAGATTTGGGCTTTATGATAATTCCAGCAGCACATCCCAGCTCACCTTCCTGCTCTGTCCCTCCCCAGGCAGGCTGTGGGGCAGCCACACTGAATTAATTGTTAATGAGGCAGAAGAAAGCCTTGGCTTTTCCGGGCACTGCAGCCCGGAGCTGCTGCTGCTCTCCTGGCACACACAGAGCCAGCATTGTAGGGGAGCTCTGTCTCCTCCTCCCACAGCTCCTTTCAGCCCTAAATTAAGGGCTGTAGTGAACTGCAACCCCCTCCTAAAGAAAAGCTCCCTCACAGCCTGTGCTGGGAGGAAGGAAAAGGCACCATGTGGAGCTGGGACTCAGCTGCAGAGGCTGCCCAGCCTCCAGCACTCCCTGTCCCCAGGCAGGGTCACCCTCTCCTCCCTCTGCCCTTATTCTCACACATTTTGCTCTTTTTCTTTCAAACACGCTCTGTTTATGTTCCACCTGCAACTCCAGCACATTCAGGTTTTTTCACCAAAGCAAATATTCAGAGGTTAACAAGAAAACAGAACTGTAAAAATCAATTTAGGGCTCAGAAGTCTGAGATTCATCACTCACCTAAACTGCAATTCAACACCCTATTGAATGAGGCAGATGCAGGAAAAGATTACTCACAATTTACATTAAGATGTAACAGCCAAAATTAATTGCTATTCAGTCTTTCTGGCAATAATTCTGGCTTAGTTGCTGGTGCTAATGTGGGGTTTGGAAGTTGAAAAGCTCCATCTTGCTTGTGTAAAGAATTCTTTTGGAGAAAAGACAAATTTCCTGATGAGGTCTCTTCTCTGTGTAACTTCTTGTATTACCAACATTTTTAAGCAATTAAAAGAGCAAGGGCAAATCCTTCTCCCTTCCCTAAATGGTAAATGAGGATTGAACTGTAACTGTAATTTGGCTCTGATTTAACTACTGAAAATCACCTTGTGCAGGGTTGGGGTTTAGCAGCTCAGCTGCAAACACAACAGAACTGTCAATAGAAAAAAAAACCCAAACAAACCCCATAATTCTTTAGGCACAAAGCCTGATAAATGTCTCTGCTGATCTCAGGTAGCTGGATAAATCTCTTTTGGGCAGCAAGGCCCAGGTGAGGAGCTCTGGCCCCCAAACTGCTAAAACCATTCCAAAGCTCCCCTCTCCTCACACCCTCTCCCCAAAGGAGTGGTCCCAGATATCACCATCATTATAAAAGTCTCAAAACAAGACTGCAAATCTCTGCTTTAAGGAGAGAAACACAAACCCTTCAGAAAATGATCACTGTTCACATCCTCAGTCACTGGGGCAGAGGATGCTCAGGGAAGCACAGAGGGAAAAGCCACTTGGATTTCAAATGTCCCTTCATCCTGAGCAAACTTCATGGCAAGAACTGAAATCCAAATGTCAGCCTTGCAAAAGGGACACACAGCACCAGTGGGCTTGGCCTGGCCACAAACCAGGACGTTTCTGGTGACATCAACCTCAGCAGTCACATGGGCCACAAGGAAAATCCAGCAGGAATGTGTGCTCTGAGTTATTTACACACAAGCACTGCACAGGGGGTTCAGCCTCTGACAGAAATGAGCTGCAGCCCTGGGAAACAGGAAACACACTTGGGAAGGAGGAGGATGCACTGCATTTATCTGGCTTTGTTTGTACACAGCTCCAGTTTCAGGACACTGGGAGATGGTTGGGCAACCCAGGCCTTGCTTGAGTTGGAAGAATAAAAGCTCAACAAAACCAGGAGAGGCCAATTCACTGACTGAGGATCAGCTCAATATCCAGAGGAGCCAAAGCACAAACTGGACACTGTTCCTAATTTCAGTTTAGAGTCAGTGCTCCTGCAGCAGGCCTGGCCTGGAACTATCAGGATGCCTCAGACTTGCTGTGCTGGAGTCCAAAAGTCTGGAATACAGCCCAGGCACCTGAGCTGCCCCCTGGGAAGGCAGGAATGTCCCCCTGGCACTGCCCAAGCCCAGTCACCCAGCTCCAGCCACAGTGCCACGAGCCAGGTCCACCCTGGCAGTGGGAAATGCCATCAGAAAGGATGGGAAAGTGGGAACAGCTTCAAACAAATTCACTGTACAACAAAACAACCCAAAGGAATCTCAGAACCACCACATTCCATTGATTTTCTCTTCTCCCACTCCTTCCAGAACTCCCATCCAGGCCCCCCTCCAGGGCTTTCCTGACCTCAGACAGAGCTGCAGCACTCTGCAAACCTTGGAAGTGTTTCCTTCCTCCATGGCATCACCACTGCCTCCCCTAACAACAGCACACAGGGAACCTTGGAACACTCAGGAGAAGGAGCTGCCCACATTCCTGACTTCATTTCAGGAGAATGTTTTGTAGAAACCCCTCAGAGTGTGTGACAGCCACCACTGCCACCATCATTGTCACTTAACCAGAGCTGTGACAACCCTGCCACACACGAGGCTGGGGGTGAACACAGGTGCTGTGTTGTCCTACCCTGCTCTCAGTCTGGCTCTCCAGCTGTTTGAACTCCTTGTGTGACATCACTGAGAAGGGATTTCTCTCTCCAGAATCCCAACAGAAACAGTCTGAAGTGGTTCCCAAAAGCCCAGCTCACTTTTGAAATCTCAACTGCCACTTTTAATGTATTAGCACTGTTAAAAGAGATCCCACCTAGTCTGACACCCAGGAAAAAAGCAGCAGTGCAGGGGCTGCATTTACTGTTCCAGTCAAATCCCTTGTGATTAGTGAGGCCCTTTGGAGTTCAGCAAAGATCAGGAATTATTTTCATATTACTTTGTGCTGAAACCCATCCCATGTCCTAGCAATGGGCCTGATCCTTCTGGAGATTTTCTGCATTTGTCATTTATTTATAGCCCCATCACCCTTAACCTGCTTTATTTGGGGCTTGTTCTCAGCACAATGGGGGAAGCAGACTCTGATCCTGTAAAGCTCTGCAAAGCCTCACTGACACTCTGCTAGGTCAGAGCAGAACAAAGCCAGAGCAAATCAGAGGCTGCAGAAAAGAAATTACAGAAAAACATCAGCATAAGCTGAAAGAGTCTCTTCTTCCCAAATATACCAAGATCAGTGTGAAAGACAGGCTGGGTTTGTTTAACCTGATTTTCTGCAGAGCAGCCAAACACTGCCTTAGGAATGGTAATTCCACTCCTGGTGCTAACCCTGGCTAGGTCCAATTCAGCCTCCAACCAAACAGCAATGAGATGCTGAATAAATCAAGGCAATGAAATGCTGAATAAATCAAGGCAAACACGAACACTTTAGGTCTCTGGGCTGGAAGTGCTACAGAAAGAATCACATTTATTTCTTCAGCCCCCAGATCAAACATGCCCAGTTATTCCAGCTGGGGGAGTTCCTTTAGGCACAGGTTTAGTGAAAGCCCTGGTTTATCCCTTTCATGGGAATGTTTGCTTTGAGGGTTTATTTGCAGGGAGAAAGGGCTGAGCAGTTGGGCTGTGTCAAACCATCTTCCCCAGCTCTTGCACACACCAATATGAAATTGTTTTAGAGGGTTTTAAGTTTCCTTTCTTTAAATGGAACTCATGGCCTTTTCTGCATGGGAGAATTCCTTGTCTCCACTTTACTGAAGGTGAAACCAAGCAATTGAGAACTACAAATGTTAGTTTAACACTGAACAAATACTTCCTTTCAGATTTACCTCCTTTAAATTTTATATAAGAGATTATATTAATGCATTTTTTTGAAATCAGGGGTTTAGTTTAACACTGAACAAATACTTCCTTTCAGATTTACCTCCTTTAAATTTTATATAAGAGATATATTAATGCATTTTTTTTTCTAGTAGACGGTGAAGGTTTTTATGGAAGTACATGCTACTCACCCAACATTTCTTTCTTTAATTTTTCATTCCTCTCCTCAATTTGCTGTGGTAATCTCTGTGGAGAGAGAGAAAATCTGGAATCAGATCCCTTCTTTCACTAATGCTCCCCTTTTGGACACGAGCAGTGACAGACACAAATCCTGGTGTGCAGTTCCAGACTCTGAACACTGCTAATGCAGAGCCCCAGCACCTCCCACTCCAGGAATGCCCTTATGGACACCCATTTTTATCTGGTGTCTGTGATACTTATCCCAAAGTACAGCTGCTTCTGGCAAATCTCTTCATTTGCCCTAAAACCCCTCAAAAACTGTGTGGAGGCTGAAATTCTCCCAACAGTTACACACCTGTGAAACCCAAACCTAACCACTGCTTCCATACAATGAAACTTTCTGGAAAAGCAGCAATAAGGATGATTTGAGCACAATTTGATAATTCCAAACTGCTAAGTCTGGCATTGAAAAAGTCAGAAATAACTGAGGATTGAAATCAGAACTCCAGCTCTGCACTCCTGAAATACAAACAGTGCTCAAGTATTGGAGCAGGTACCAAATCAGGAATCAAAGAATGACTGTGCATTTCATATTTTAATCTGTCATTTAACAGGGTCATGACATTCCCTAGAGCAGTGTGAGATCATTCCTGGGGGCAGGGAGGAGGAAGATTTGCCTAACTGTGAATGAAGCCCATTTGCAGATTTTCTTGAGGCATTGTTTTCATTGCCAGTGAGGGGGAAAAGATCCTGTGATATTCCTGCAAGGCAGAGACACTTTCACCTGACAACAGAGCAAAGCTTCTCAGCCTCCTCCAGGTCAGAGATGTAACCAGGTATGTGGAGTCAACAGCTGAAACTTGGGGGGTTTCATTATGAAATGTAGAGATTTATGATGAATATTTGAAAAGTGTAAAATTATAGCTGTCAGGATTTCCTTAACAGGTTTTCAAGAAGTAAGCTTTAGGCTCAATAGTTTGCTTCTCCCCTCAAATCTGACAAGGACCAGCTGAAGGCAGAACACACCAAATGCCAGGGCAGGGGAATTTGAGGGCATTTTGTCCAAAGGGTTCTGCAGCCAAAGGCTCTGCCTGGCCAAGGGAGCTCAGGGAGCAGGAGGGGTGAACCCCACCCTCTGCACTGCCCAGGCACAGAAATCAGGAATAAACTCTGAGCATTCTGAACTGGGCCTGAAGGAGCAGCAGCACTGCTGGGGGCTCTGCTGTGGGATCATCAGGGCACAGCCACTGGGAGAAAATCCTGGCTTTGCAGGGCTCCAAGGACAGTGCTGGGGTCCAACCAGCCTGGACAGAACCAGCCTCCCCTGAGGGTCTGACTCAGACTCCTGGATTATCCAGCCCAGCTCCTGGCCCTGCACAGACCCAACAGCCCCAGCCTGGGCATCCCTGGAGCAGAGTCCAAGCCCTGCTGGAGCTCTGGCTGTGCCCATTCCCTGGGGAGCTGTTCCTGGCTCAGGGGAAGCCCCAGCCCAGCTCCAGAGGCAGCAGGTCCTTTGTGGGAGCTCAGCTGTTTTATGGGGTCACCCCTCACCACCAACAGCACTCACAGAGTTAAGCAGAATATTTTCTGCCATCAGTGCAACTGATCAGTCCCCCAGGAAATCATTCCAGGCAAGGTTTCTTGCCTAATATGCCATAAAAGCTGTTCCTAATCTGTCACTTACAACACCACAGTGTGGGAAAAGGGGGGCACAATCACTGCTAATGATTTATTTTCCCAAATGGAGACTTAAAACAATTAAGCCTTTCAAGAAGATTTTTGTAACAACGTATTCAGAGTGGGTTTAGAGACAAATTTGCAGGTGATGCACGTGAGGTTTTTTTCCCTTCTGAGGCAGAATCCATTGCAGGTTCACTGGTGTGAAGCTGAACTAAAATAATGATAAGTAAGTTAGGCCAAAGTTCACTGAAAGGCTTAAGCTTACCATGCAAGCTTCTCTGGCTTGATGAACTGAGGGGTCTTTTTCTAGGACTGCCTTATAATCTTCCAGAGCTTCATCTAATTTTTCTGTTTTTTCATAGAGTTCTGCTCTCCTCAGCAATGCTCTGACATAGTGAGGGTCTAATTCCACAGCTGCAAAACAAAAGCAAAGCCCAGGATTGTACTTGAAACATTTCTCCTTTCCTCAAATGAATTCTCAAGTGTGTATTACATTTGTGAGTTGTCCTTAGAATGTAACTCAGGATCAAGCAGAGGCACAGCTTAAAGCTAAGCTGGAATTCAGAAGCAGCTGCCTGGGACAGTCTCATGATCATATTTCATTTCATGTCCACAACCTCTCACAGATGGAAGTGATTTATGATCACAAAGCTTTAAATGTGCAATCCTATCCATGCAGGGATTCTAAGTGATGCTACAGAAACTGTAAGGACCTGCAAGATATTTCAGTTTTTGTGTGTTTAGCAAGTGGCTATTATTAGATTGCAGCTAAAGTTAAACATCCCTCCAGACACACACAGCAGGGAAAATGAGCCTTGCCACGCTTATCTCAGTTCAAGTGGAGACAAACTCCAGGAGAATTTCTGGAGCTCTTCTGAATTTAATATCAAACAGTTCAGGCTGTGTTGGGAATGCACAAACAGTGATTTCAGCCCTGGGAGCTGGCAGAGGGGCATCCTGACTGAATCTCAGCTCTTCCTCCCCTCCTTCCCTTGGCAGCCAGGGCTCTTTGCAGTGGCAGCTCAGACTGAATGCAAAACTCAGCAGTCACCTCCACATGGTAATTCCTCAAGAATTCCTTCATTCATTTTTCATCACAGAAACAGGGAATGTGAAAGATTTCACCACAGAAATAGGGAATGTGAAAGATTTCACCTCAGAAAGAGGATTTTTCATCACAGAAAGAGGTCTGTCCTTTTTATAATTCCCAGCTCATTAAAATGGTTCTGGGGACAATTAAATCTCAGATTATCCAGGTAAATATTCCAGTTTATCTTCTGGCAAGGACAAAGGCAATGGCACAGTCAGCAAGCTGCAGGTGACTGAATTGCTCTGCTGTGCTGCTGTCCCTGGGGAGTGTCAGGCCCTGGCAGCTGAAGGCTCCCTGCTCAAAGCACACTGATTCCCTCTGAGGCACTGCAAAATTCAAGGTGTTTTTCAGAAAGCAGCAATTCCAAAACCAGGCAAAGCCCCAGTGAGAGAGGCCAGGGAGGATTTGGTACCTCCAGGAGCCCTTTCAGCAAGCACAGCTCCCATTTCTGTGCAGGCAGTGCTGGCACACAGCCACTGGATTAGTTCTCTGATTGGTAATTTGGATTTTTTCCCCAGCTGTCACAGGGAGTTTAACAAACACTCGAGGGTGGGTGAGTGGGTGGAAGCAATAAAGCAAAGCACAGCTGAACTGATTCCACCAGAAGGTGCAGAGACAGAACTGTGCAGGGCAGGAACAGGGGAACATAAGCCCTGGTGACAAAGCAAAAGCTGTGCAGGAAAGGGACTTGATAATGCTGTTAACTCTATAAAGCCTCAGAGTTCTTTGGAACCTGGGATTAAACCAGGATTTGGGCAGGTGGAAGTGGGTTTGAAATCACAGGTGTGGGAAACAGTCCCCACAGAAAACACTTTCCTATTAAAAACAAGTACAAACTGCAGCCTTATGGTACAGGAGAACAGAAAGTAAATTACTGCAGATAGGAAAGGTTTGACAGACATTTTACAAAATAAGTGATACAAATCAGGTATTGTCTGTTCAGTTCTTTAAAGACTCTTATGCCCAAAATTACAGCTCTGCAGTAAAGGCACTAAATGACACAATTTATGTATAAAAATCTGGCACAAGAGCAGCACAGAGAGGAAAAAGTACCTTTGGTGCAGTCACTCAGGGCAGCCTCTGTCTTGTCCTAGAACACAAAACACTTTTGTTACATTGAAGGCATATTTCTTCATGTCCCCAGCCCTGGAGGTGGCACTCTGGGCTGGGGACAAGGTGGGGATGAGGCTCAGCCTGGTCCTGGAGGGCTCTGCTCACTTCACAATTGCATTTGTGCACTTTGTGCCAGACCCAGTCCAGCATGACACAGGATGAAGCCAGCACTGACCTGTTTCATTTTTGCAGCAGCTCTGTTTGAGAACAGAACAGCCCTGTCCTTCTGGAAGCAGGCTGGGCAGATCTGCAGAGCCTTGGTGTAGGATTCTTCTGCCTCTCCATAATCTGCAGAGCAACAAAACCCAAACCAAACCATTCATTTCCAACACTGAACACCATGGCTGAGGCTCCTTTGGGAACAGTTCTCAATATCTGGTGATGTGACACCAGAACCAGTAGCTGCTCTCAAAGAACATTACTGAGTTCATAAATACAATTGATTGTTTTAGGATTTACTTAATTTTGCTAATAAAAGCAGGAATATACTCCTGAGCTGAATGCAACAAGTGCAGCAGGAGTGGATATAATTCTCATCCCTGACATTGTTTCCTCTTTGGGCAGAGGTGGAATCCCTCTGGATGAAGTGCTGAAGGCTGCAGGGAGCTTTTATGGCCACATCAACTTCACCTGGAAAGATCAAGGAGAGGCCAGGGGTGAGACTCCAGCAACACTCCAGGCCTGTGGCTCTCCTGGGCTCAGCCCTTCCCTCCTGCCCTCTCTGATGCCTTCCAGGGCTGGGGATCATCCCCAGGACTGTTCCCTTAGGATCCATGAGGCATCTCCAGGCTCTGCTGCTCCTCAGGGCACACAGATTCCCTGCCTGTGTCCTGCTGACTGAGGGAAGCAGGAACCTGCAATTTCTGCTTTCTCTGGGAATCCTCCACCCACAGCAGGTTCAATCAAAGGCAGGTGCCAAAACCACTTCCCCCCTTCTGTTTGTTCATTAAAATCAATTTATAAAGGCACAAGACAGCTACAGAGCCCCAGATCTTGCACCAATTCTAAGCACAACCATCGGCCCAACTCAGAGCCCCAAGGAAGCCTTTTTTGATCAGTAAAAGAAAGGCTGGCTCTTGGAAGGCAGTCCAAAATCCATGGTTTTGTATGTACACACTCAGCTTTCACGGGAATCCTGCTTTAGTATCCAAACCTTTGGATTTAAACAACTCTAAAGGAGGTCTGATAGCTCTGTCTCTCCCTGGATGAAAAATGCAAGAGGTGATGAAATTCAACAAGAACTGTGTGAGGTCTTCCTCAGAGCTTCCTGCAGCACCACCACGATGGCTCAGTGCTAATGTGGGGTTCTCTGCCATGCACAGGGTGTTCAGAGATGTCCAACCCACCTCCTTTCTTGAAGTGCTCATTTCCTTTCTCCTTCAGCCCCGTGCTCTCCTTTCTTCTTTTCTACAAAAGGAAAGACAATGTCTCAGAGTATTTCACTGAAATGAGCAACTAGGTCAGCTGCAGTTCCAAATGAAGTAAGGAAGGGAAGCAGAATAAAACAGAACCTGAAGAGTTTTAACTCTGCCAAGATCTGCTTGTAGACCCTGTGACATGAAATACTTTCTATACCCATGAAACACTGGAGTGTAACAGCAAGGCAATTAAAAAGCTCCACTCCACAGCCACCAGGATGAGGGAGAGCATCCATGGAGAATTCCATGCTTTAACCCAACACATCAGCTTTTACTGGCTGTTTGCTTCTCCTTTCCAGCTCCATTTAATTCACTCACTGCAGGTCAACTGTGCACAATATATTTTAAATGTAAAGTCTCACAAGTTTTGCTTGAAATAATTCCACCTCAGCAATTCCGGTTATTTTCAGAGATGCACAAGGAAAAAGTCCAGGCTGAGAAAGATTTCTGCCCTGAAAGATTTCTTAGGGGGAGTAAGTGAACCCCCAGATGCAGGTTCTTTGTGCAGTGAGAACTGCACGTGTGAGCAGAGCTGTGTTCTCAACCATGAACACCCTGGCACAAGGGGAGGCCAGGCTCAGGCTCAGCCTGTGACACAGAAAACTCAGGATGTCCCCAAGCCATCCCTGCCACCCCCTGCCACTGCAGACCCTCCTGAAACAAAGCAGGCAAGGGCAGGAACAGCACAGAGCTCAGGAGGGCTACAGAAAACGTGCTTGGAGCACTGGATTTTCTCCAGCACACAAAGGACTTCAATGGAGGTGTCTGTAAATGACAGATCACTGAGCAATTAAAAAGCCAACAGTAGGAAAAGGAGCAGTTTCCTTTCCTGCAGATTGTGTGAATCAAGGATTAATGCAATTATCAATATCACACAGAACATCTCCTTGGAAACAGCTAAATATAGTACAGAGTGTGGAGCACTGCAGCAGCTCCCAGCTATGCCAAGGAGCTGACAAACAGCTCCAAATCCCAGGTTCTCCCTCCTGCTTTTGTGGCTTTGGGGATTGATTCCCCTGACCACTGGCACACCTCGAGAACAGGTCAGCCTCAGGGGAAGGACACTGAGTCATGGCATGAAATTCCACAGCAGAATCTCATCTGACCCCTTTGATGCCTGCCCAGACCATCACATTTGTTCCTATTGCCTATTAACTGGCTTTTCCAGCAGCCATCACTGCTCACACTTTGAAGAAACCCCACAAAACACAGGGCACACAAACTCTAGTGTTCTTGCTCAGGGAGGGCTGACAAACCCCCAGGCCCTTCCACAACAGCCCAAGGGACACACCTGGTGCTTTCTAAACATGAACATACAAATCCCACACTTCAGGCTGCATGAAAACCCCAAATCTCTGTGTGATGCAGAACTCTGCCTGCTCAGCACAGGCACTGTGGAACTGCTACACCTCCATTTTCCAGGGAGCAGACACAAATTCCTGCCTGGACCTCACAAAAAGGCATTTTTAAATATTCTGCAGTGCACAAAGGCTGACAATGACCCCAACCTCTCGTGGCACTGAACAAAGCAGCCCCATCTCAGCACAGGGCAGGCTGAGATGAGGATCCTGCTGCAAAGATCTCCACAGATGCCCTCAGAGAGGGGAAGGGCTGCCTGAAACACAAACCCCACTGACTTCATTGCTCATGACCTATTTAGAAGTGGCCTTTCAGTGCCACGAGCACTCTCTGCTGCACAGGGTTCAGTTACAGCTCCACAAGAATGAAAGGATTTTTATTATCAACACAACTACAGCATGCTCACAGCAGTCCTGAGGCAGAAACCCTGGAATCAAGGGATGCTGGATGAAAAGTTTCACCTGTATTATCAATATTTTGTTTCATTTTATCCAAATTATTTTAAAATATTACACGTTTACCCTAATTATACATCAAATGCTAACATAAAAAGTGATTTGCAGCAAGAAAGCTTTAGAAGAATAAGCTTTATATTAAAAAAGGCTAAAAGGAAAAACAACAAAGCAACAAAGCAGCACTTTTAAAAGCTCTTTGTATGATTTTGTAATTTATTCTGCTCCCTGCAAAGCAGTAATGGGTCAAAGCTTGCATTTCTGTGAGAGCCTGATCAACATTTTCAACATATCCCTGGTTTATGGCTTTCACTTCCAAACTGAGTGGCCAAAGTATTTTTAAAAAGGTGAAGTCTATAGGGAACTTCCTGCACATGGATGGAATTGCATTTCAGGTATCACTGACCAAGAAGCAACATCTCAAAGCCAATTCCTCTGGCTTTTCCACAAAATGTGAGAGCATGAAAAATGGATGAGCCCCTCACATGCTGAAGGCAGTGCCCTGCAAAGCAGGTTGGCTGTGAGATAAATGCATTATTTATTCCTCCATCCAGACACTCCTGGAACAGAAATTCCTAGCACTGAACAACTCTTAGGATTTCTGTTTCAGCTGCACTGCTGCAGGGAGGCTGGGAAAACTTATTGAGATCCAGGGAAAACCCCAAAGCACTCCAGCAGCCCCTCAGTGTCCCCCCAAACACCCCAGGAGCTGCCCTCCCTCCCTGGCAGGGAATGAGGTCAGCCTGAACCCCAAATCCCAGGAAAAGCCATCCTGGCCTGCTCCTGCCCCAGGGCTGCTCACACACAGCCCTGCAGGCAGCCACAGCTCCCCAGTGCAGGATTTCCTGCTCTTCACTGGCAGCAAAATCTGAAGGTTTGGGGTTTTTTTGTGAATTTTAGTAATGCAAAGATGACAAATTGCACGGCAGGCACTGACTGTGATGTGGTTTAAATATTTTTTGAAGTTCAGAACTGAATAGAAGTGGTGATGATTCTTACAGGGTCTGATTAGAAATGTTTTAATTTGGTACTGAATTCCAATCCCATACCCAGAAAAAAATCAGTATTTAACCCAAACCTGCCTGGCAAAGCCAGGACTGCTGGAGATGATCTCAAGTCATGACAAGGGACAGCCTGGCCCTGTGAAAATAAAGTACAAACTTAAATCCCACACAGCCCCTGCACCTCAGCTGCTCTGCCAGAACACTCAGGGTTAACAAGAAAAACATTATATAAAATAGAATTTTCTAGAATTGATTTATAACTATATAATTGTAAATACACTTCATTTGGATATGAAATGTATTTTTTTAATAATAACAGCATTTATCTGCTATTAGAGAAGACAGCAACCTACATATTCCCTGTTTCCTGGGGAAGTGAGCAATGCAACAGAAGTGCTGGAAGTGAAATCCTTGAGCAGCCAGTGGGAGCTGAAGGAACAACAGCCTCAAGTTTGTGACACTGCCCAACATTTCCTCTGGCTGTTGCTGTGCTGGGACTGATCCCTGGATTTCCCTTTGCTGGGAACTGCTCCTGGCTCCAGTTCTGGAGACATTCTACTTCCAGTGAGCCTGCCCCTTGGAAGGTCACCAAAACCAGGGGCATCCAAATCCCTGCAGTTCAGAGGGGGCGCAGAAACTGGGATTTTAAGCAGATCAGGAATGCATTTTTCAGCTGCCAGTCCCACTTCTCAGTCACTCATTAGCAGCTGTCTGCTTCCCCCTGCAGTTTTGGGAAGCTACTGCTCTCTCCTGCATCCCAGGCTTTGGATTTCAGTTTAAGGTTGGAGTCAGCCCCAAACCCCTTTTTAAATCTTGAAAACACCCAAAGCTGCACCTGGGAGGTTCCAGGGCAATGGCAGGGATGGACCTGGCCTGTCCCTGCTCCCTGGGATTCCACGGAAAAGAACTTTACTCTTTCTACCACCAAATTCCACAGAACTGGAAGCAGCACTGGCAGTGCAGGGAAGGAGGTCACAGCCCTCCCTGACAGCTCCAGTTAAGCCCAGCCTAAGTGTGTGCCTCTTCCTGAGAGGCAGGAGTGCCACTCATCCCTGGTGCTGCAGAGGAACAGCCCGGGGCAGGAGAGGAGCTGCCCACAAATCCATCAGCACCAGGGGAAAGGCCTGGATGTGACAGCAGCACTGTCTGCCACAGAAATGCACAGCTGAACACAGGACTCACATCAGACAGCAGCACTCAGAGGGACATGAAGGGAGAATTTTCCCTCTTCCTATTAAATTGCCACTCAGCAAAAGAGTTTTGTTTGTTTAAAACTCAAAGAATTATAAATTACACAGGGAGAGTCTAATTCCAGCTTTTATTCAAATTTTTCTCACCAGCTCTTGCAATTAATGACTCCAGCAGATACAGATTTACTGCTCAAATGTTCTTCTCCAGGCTTTAACCCAGACCATGGAACAGGATGTTTTATTCTATACAGAAGCTTCCCCTTATGGAAACAATGGGATCAACCCAAAGGCACAGGGAGGAAAGAAGGGTGAGGAGGGGGCAGCTTAAAGGAAATGTCTTCACTAAGCCAATGTTCTCTAACAATCCTAGAGCCTGCAGAAAACAGGGGGGTTAAAAAAAGGAAATTTTACTGTTTAGCCCAGCAAGAATCTCAGGCATCACTGAAAAATCCTATTTCTTAAATTCAGTTCTATCACATTCTTACAGAGCTGCTCACAAGACACTCCTCAAGAATCTCCTCTTGCTTGTGTTGCTGACCCATTTCCTGCTGCCAGGACAGGAATTGTGATCCAGGCAGCTGCAGGCCCAGGGCACAGGGAGAGACAGGCCAAAGGAACTGCTCAGGAGGAATATTGGGTATTTATTGAGTGTCTCACAGAACACAGGCTTCCACATCCAAAATTAGAGGCCAGGTGCTGAAGTCCTTGCCACAGGACAGGACAGCATCTGCCACAAGGGAGGAGCTGAGGGCCTGGGAGTCCTGCACTGCATCAGCTCCTCAGTGTCCCTCAGACAGGGCTGGCCAGGCTGAACAATGACCCTGCAACAGCTGCTGGGTGTCCTCAGATTAATTCTGCAGAGCTGCCCCACGTCAAAGCCATCACTGTCACTGACAAGCAGCCAGAAAAATCTGCTTGGAATGCATCAAAAGCAATTTGCTGCTCAGTGCCTCTGCTGAGGCAGCAGCAGCAGCCTTGTGAAACAACAACCAGACCCTGCAAAGGTGAACTGCAATCCTTAAAAAGCTCAGAGGTGCAACCCCAGGCAAGGAACCAGGCTCTGGCTTTGAGAACACTTCTTACAGGTTTGTGTCTTAATATCCCTGCAAGTTCTTGTTTTGCTTCTCTGTGCACAGAAGATTTCTTAGGGTATCCCTGCTGTCTCCCTGAAAGGAATCCTGCTGCTAAACCTTAGAAATCTCCCTGTATGGGGCTCTTGAAATGTAATTAGAGAAAACACACAATCCCTCCCTGGCTCCTTCCCTCTGAGCTCTGCAGCAGCCTCTGCACAGGTGAGTGTTTTACTCTGAGCTGCTGGAATCTGAACCACCCAGAGCCAGGCCCAGGACCTGCCTTTGCACCTCCAGAATAAATCCGAGGCTTTTCCTACAGCCCAACACTGAACACCACTCCACAGAGCCCGTTTATTCCAGCTGCTCAACACAGCAGTGGGTTTGCTAACAAAAACCCCAACCTGAGGAGCAGAAGCTCCATCAGCTCGACTGGAGCAGGGCTCTCATCCAGCTCTCCTTGTGCCCTGAGCCCACAGCTCATGGCTGGTGCTGCAGCACCAGCTCCTGGGGAGGTTTTGTGCTTTAGGCAAGCAGCCAAATCAAATCCATCTCCCCGGGTGCCAGCACCAGGCTGCTGTTTGATGTCTGCTTCAACCAGCACTGGATCTGAAAATCCAGCTTGATGTCCCTGTGACCCACCACCCTGAGAGCTCCACTGCCCCTGAGGTGTGCCAGCACGGGCTCACGAGAGCCCAGCAAGGACTGCTGAGAGGCTGCTCCCACCTCAGCAGCCAAAAACCACTTCTGACTATTTCTGTCTCATTTGCTGCAGCTGCAATAAAAAATAAATTAAAAAAAAATCACGTTGCCCTTCCCAAAAAGCGCCAACCTTTTGAGTCATTGGAAGGAGGCTTTAAAGGTTTAAAAAAGTTCTGAGTAAATGAATGTACAGCACTGTTTTCAGACTGGGACTGCAGGACTTTTCCTTAAAAGCTGCAGCATTTAACAGAATCTTTTATAATCAGAATATAAAGAATGTTTCACTTTGAAAAATAAATTCATCAGCAGCAAGTACAAGGAGCAGAGGTGGAGCAGCAACTGAGGAGTGACCTGTCCAGGGGAGATCATGGAAGGGGCCACTCCAGTGGCTGTCACAACTGTCTGAGCTCCTGATTCTGCTCTGCATTCAGAGTTCTGCAGCTCTGCTTGCATCACACACCAGCAATATTTCACTAGAGAAAAAAACTACAATTGAAAATCTGCAAGATTTATAAATCTCTCAGTGGAACATAAAAACTGTGTGTTTTTGCAGTACTTGTGGTGCTGGTGAGACAGAATCCCTCAGTTTGGGTAGCTGAAATCACAAACCACCCTGAAGGGCAGAGTTGCTCAACACCACTGGAAATAAACCTGCAGAAAGATGAGAGCTGCAGCTGCCTCCAGCCTTTCTCTGAGGAAACCTTCCCAGTTTGAAGCAGTTGTTGTTTTGCACTCCCATAGCCCCTTTCAGAGGAGTTCCACAAAGCTGAGTGCCAACATTCAGCATTCCCAATTATTTTGGTCATTTGACAGCAGGCAAAGATCCATGTGCAAAATGAGATGATTATCTAAAAATACACCCAAACCAGGAACAGCAGGAAAATGAACACAGCCAATTGCCAGGCTTGCTGCTCTTTTCAGAGTTCAGCTCCAGAACAATTTCCCCCCAGTTTTCAGCAGTTTTTCTCTGAAGCTCTCCAGTCCCAGGCTGCTGCTGCAGCCCCAGTGTGACTCATGATGACAGTGCTCCTCACTGGACAGGAATAAACACAAGGAGAAAAAAGGGACTGTTCACTCACACTGCAAAAACCCAAGGGCAATGAAATGATTTTTGTGTGTGAGGTCAAGGAAGGATTTTTGCCCTCTGCTCAGCACCTGAGAGATGCATTTGGAGGATGCCCTGTTTTGGGCAAAAACCCCCAAATCAAACAAACTCCTTCCTACAACAGCAACAACAAGACCCTGACTTCCCAGGGGGACTCCAGGATGCTCAGGGCTCTGCAATAAAGAAAATTCTAATTAAACATAGGACAAAAGTTTCCAGGCTAGTTGAACAGCAGCACAGGGAGCCAGAGGGGCTGTGCCAGAGATGCCCCTGGCTCTGGGCAGGGGCTTGCACTAAAATCCTCCAAAGATGCAGCAGAACCTCCTGACACTGCCATTCTTCACTATTGAATCTCACCTGGCAGCACCATTCAGAGCCCAGCCTGAGGCACAGAGATCCAAAGGGATTCCCACCAGCTCCAGCAGAAACCAGAAGTACTTTTAGTGTCACTCCTACTCCAAGGAGACTCTACCCCATGTTGTGCTTCCCCAGTATTGCTGCTCCCCCTCAGGGAACTTCTACATCTACACAAAGATTGGTTCTACAGATGAAAAACTGCATTTGTCTCTTCCCTGCTGCAGGATGAGTTTGTCCAGTGTGACAGCAGTGAAAGCCAACAACCCCACACATTTATTGTGGTTTTGTTTGACTGAAGCCCCAATAATCCACAGGGATCTATTCCAGTGGAACCCCTGCTCCCTGGATTCCCATAACCAACCTTTAGGAAAGCCATCCTGAAATCTGCTGGGTTTGGAGAGGCACCTTGCAGCACTCAGGGGAAACCAAGGGATGCACAGACAGTCACAGCAGCAACAGGGAGAGCTTTGTTGCTGAAATTACAAATTTCTGAGTCACAGCCACCCCACCCACTGCTCGAGGCACACAAAGCCTGCCCTGGAATAAGAGCAGCAAGGAGAGCCACAAACATTTGTTACTAAAAGAGGGAATTTAGAACAGTAAATCCAGACACTCAAGGGCTTTAAATGTGCCTCTGTGTCAGAGAACTCCAAACACCAACACTGACTGCACAGAGATCATTTCATACCTGCACAGAGATCATTGCACACCTGCAGAGATCACTGCACAACTGCACACAGATCACTGCACACCTGCACTGACTGCAGAGATCATTGCACACCAACACTGACTGCACAGAGATCACTGCACACCTGCACTGCCTGCAGAGATCACTGCACACCTGCACTGACTGCACAGAGATCACTGCATACCTGCACTGGCTGCAGAGATCACTGCACACAGATCATTTCATGCCTGCACACAGATCATCCCACACTGCTCAGGGCTGGCACTGCCACAGATAATTTCATACCTGCACTGACTGCAGAGATCACTGCACACAGATCATCCCACACAGATCACTGCACACAGATCATTTCATGCCTGCACACAGATCATCCCACACCAGCACTGTGCTCTGCATTACCTGTTTCTCCTCCTCTGGCATATCTTTCTCTAGTTCTAGCAAGTATTCTTCCTCTAGCTCTGTCTGCTTCCTGGAGCTACTGCCGTCATCCTGAGCGTTCCCTTCATCATCCAGCACAGCTGCTTTGGCCTCAAAGGAGTCCTGACAGTCATGGAAACACTCCTCTGTGGGGTCCTGGCCTGGGGAGGGGGCACAGCCACTGCCCAGCCTCTGGGGGTGCTGGGCATCTCTGGGGCCAGTCTCTGGAGCCTTCTGATCTGACAGCTTCAGGTGGTTCAGTGACTCCTCAAGTGGGCTTGCAGCTTTAAATTCTTCCATGCTGGGCTCCTGGGAGGGGGTTGTGGAAATGAGAAAGGAGTGACACTCAATAATCGTCATTAACAGATTCATCAGCAAACGAATCCCAGCACCCCGGGGATGGAGGGGACCACAGGGGGCACTGGGGCCACCCCCTGCATTCCCAAACACAGGGCGCAGGGGGGTGGCTCTGGAACACCCCCGGGAGGAGACTCCAGCCCCTCTGGGCTCTGCTCAGGGCTGGCACTGCCTCCTGTGAGGGGAACTGCTGGGCTCAGCCCTGCCCGGGGCTCTGGGGCCACTGCTGGGTCTGGAGCAGAGCCCGGCCCTGCTCTGCCCCCTCCCTTTGCATATTTATACAAATCTACGTGTACTTAATGATTTAATTGCTCTTATCCACATTTACAAATCTTTACAGCGCTCTTGACATCCCTAAGGGAAACCCGGATCTCTCGGGGCGGGAGCAACTTCCCCGGATCCCATGTCCCGTGCAGAGACACGGGGCCGGGACACTGCGCCCGTGAGTGCGGGAACTGCCGAGCTCGGATCCCGGGCCCGGCCCGGCCCGGCCCAGCCCCCGGGCGCAGTGAGGGCCTCCAGCCCGCGGCTGCCCCTTGCCAAGGCTCGCACCCTGCCCCCTCTGGCTCGCCCCGCGCTGCCCGGAGCCGAGGGGCCGGTGCAGATCACGGCCATCGCCCCCGGCCCCACCGGGTCCCGCCGTGTCCCCCCCGGCCGGCCCGCAGCCCCGGGCCCGCACTCACCTGCGCCAGCCGCACTTCCGGCTTCCGGCTTCCGCCACGCCCCCGGCACGAGGGGACCGCTTCCGGCAGCGACAGCCAATGGGCGAGGGAGCGCGCGCGGGGCATGTCGGGGACTGTAGTTCTCTGGTGTGAGGGCAGGGAGGCCAGGTGAGACCAAGTGAGGGAGAGCAGAGCAAGGGCAGGTGCCTCATCCCTCCGGTGCCCCATTCTTTCTCCCCAGGGCCGCACTGGTGTAAATCATCTCACTCCATGTTTCCTGTGGCTCCCTCAGACACTGTGAGGCCACAGGGAGGTCACCCCAAAGCCTCTCCTCTGCAGGTGACCGATCCCAGCTGTGCCAGCCGTTCCTCCCAGCAGGGCTGTTCCATGCTCTGCTCGTCCCGGCCTGGCTCCAGCAGCTCCAGCTCCTCGCTGTGCTGGGCAGCTCTGCAGGTGGGGTCTCACCTGAGGGGCAGAGGGGCACAATCCCCACCCTTCCTGCTGCCCACTGGGGATCAGCCCAGGGCACAGGGGTTCATTTTCCATGTCCAGCTCTCCCCCACCACCTCACTGTCCACCTGTGCCTCGCCAGCCTGGACTGATCCCAGGAACTTCCCTGACCCAGGTGCAGCTCCAGCTCTTGGCCGTGTCCAACCCCATGAGATCCCCAGGACCTGCTTCTCCCCATGAACATTTCATGTTTGTACAGCTCAGGAATATTTGGGTGTTCCCCTGGAACTTTGGGATGATGCTCCTCTTGCTCAGCCTCACACCCCATTCTGGTTTTGTACAACATTAAAGTGTTAAGGTATTCCAAATCTGAGCCCAAAAGGAGGCTTAAACGGGGATGGAACAACAGCCTTGGATAAAACCAGCTACAGACTCGGGAGGTTTTGTACAACATTAAAGTGTTAAGGTATTCCAAATCTGAGCCCAAAAGGAGGCTTAAACGGGGATGGAACAACAGCCTTGGATAAAACCAGCTACAGACTCGGGAGGTTTTGTACAACATTAAAGTGTTAAGGTATTCCAAATCTGAGCCCAAAAGGAGGCTTGCAGTGCCAGGGGATGGAAGAACACCCCTGGATAAAACCAGCCACAGACTCGGGAGGTTTTGCACTTGAGTGGTTCTTTAGACATTCCTGAATGCTGCTGCCTACAGCAGAAAATTCAACATGAGCCAGGTGACAATTCGAGTTGATAAACCCAGAACTGGGAAAATACCTCCTCATTATTTATTATAATTATTGAACGCAGGACATCCAAGTCCCCCCCTGCCCTTAGGGGAAGCCTTGTGTTGGAAAGGCTGGATTGGAGCCGTGTAGAACCCGGGGACTGCAGGGGATCGGGATTTGTGCCTCTCCCCGCACAGCAATCCCGTAGGTGGCGATGTTGGATTTTCCAAGCCGGGTCCCCGCTCCGTTGGTGCCAACCCGGTCCCGCTCGGTGCCAGCAGGGCTGGGGCTCCCCGGTGTCCGGCGGAGCAGGGCAGCACTCTCAGCCCCTCAGGAGAGGGACAAATGTTGCACAAGTACCCCAGGCTCCAGGCCAGAAGTTAAATTTACTTCTCTGGACAGCTTTTTTTTTGGATCTTCACAGGGAAGAAACCAAAGCTCGACAAATCAAGGAAAGGGAAAAATAATTTCCATTTTCTGGAGGTCACAGAAAGTTCAGGTTCTTCACCAGAATGAAACGTTTGCACACAAGTCTCAGTGGAATCAAATGATTGTGCTTCCCAAAGAACATTTTGAAAGGAAATTGTGAAATAGGCAATTAAAGGCTTTTTAATCACTGCTATAAATTAAAGTTTTACTACATCCGCTTTTTAGGCTGACTTATTAGAGAAACAGTGATGGATTCTTATTCATTTTGAATATCCATTCTCATTTTCTCTGTGTCTTGGCTGGAGTGCTATAAAGATTATGGGAATTGCTAGACAGGGGGCATGTTCTCCACAGCTCAAGCCAATGGGTTTTGTCGTAAGAAATGCCCAGTTACAGCCCCAGGTTTCCTTTCCCTGTCTCCTTCCACTTATGTGGCAGTGGAATTTTGGCTGTTTTGGGAAAAAGCCAGGTCATGGATTAGACCTGAGTAAGAATGTAATGTAATTTTCTGCTTTAACCCAGGCAGGAGAGCAGAGGGGTGCAGGGGGAGCTCTCCCTGTCACAGTGACATAAACTGGCATCACAGCCCTGTTTGCTCCCCAGGGACACTGGGTTTATCCCCTCGGGTTAGTTCCAAGGAGACAAACCTGGTTTATCCTCAATTTAATTCAAACCCAAGCAGACAATCCTGGTTTATCCCCTCAGTTCAGTTCCAACCTAAGCAGACCAACCTGTTGTCCTGGGATTGTTAAATCTGATGGTAGAACTGCAACCTTCCAGTCCCCAAAAAAATCACAGTGGGTGCAAACATTTCACAAACCCAGGGTGATGTGTGTCCATATTCTGAGGTGTTTCTTCTGCCTCCCCAGGTGCAGGTGGTGTTTGTGTGGTGCACCAGCCCTGAGCTCCATGTCCTGCCCTCTGGAATGTGGGAGCCAGAGAGGAGCTGGGAGAAGGTGAGCAGCTCCTGTGGAGTGAATCCAGCCAGAATCCTGTGTATTCCCTGGGGATGAGCTGCTCAGTGTGTGGGATAAGGAACACGGGATGTGAGCACACCCATAATTCCATCCCATAACTGCTGTGATTATCTCCTGTGCTGGGCAATTTTCTGCTCATTTGTCTGAGGTAAAAGTCAAGCACACAGACGCAGAGCACAGAGCTCAGCTGCTGAATAGACAGTTGCTATTTTGACATTTTCCAGACTGGAACTGTACTTTGTAATACCAATGTCCTCTCTCTCCTCTCCCCATCACATTTGTAAAGATAATGGGAAGCTGCATTTCCAAAGAGCAAAGGATGCAGGATGCTCTCCAGCTCCAGCCTCATTCAGCTGGATTGATTTTAGCATAACTCTTCTCACACATAAGCAGCACATTGAGAGCTGAGTGCACTGAAGCCTAATGGGTTTAATTTCTGTACAGCTGGGCTGTGACAAAGCTCCCTGAGCCATTCCAGCTGTGCCTCTCCACTGAGTGGCTCTGGAGCAGCCCCTCCTCAGGGATGAAGCTCCACACAGCAGCTTAACCTGGGGAAATTCAGGGTTTTATGAACACCTTGGGCAGCGATTCATTTAGAAAAGCAAATCTGTTTGCCCTCAGAGTGGGTTCATCAGAAAGTGTGTGAATGAGCATAAAAAGACACCATGTGCCACTGCCACTGCATGTTCTGCTTGGCAAATTCTGTTTGGCTGTAACAAAAAATGGGTTTGTCCCACAAGGCCTTATGATTGTGCCCTGGCCCAAATAGTTTTTCCTTTAAAGGAAAACATTGCATCAAAAGAGGGACTAACATAAGGAAGAGGGTGATTTGTACAGCCTCGTTTGGGCTGGCTTTGCCTGGTGGAGGTTGTGAAAGGTTCCAGTGGGAAAAATGAAGATATTCAGAATAGATCTCATCTGGACAAGTCAGGTGGCCTTGCTAAAGTTTCATATTTTAAGGTGGCATATCAGGCTTTGTCCTCTGTAATCTTTGCAGTCGCTCCTTCAGATCCATTTGGAGTTTTTCCCAATTTTCAAACTGTCAAAGAGTTCCTGGTGAAGGAACTCCTGTAACTAATTCCTGTTGTGTTGGTGATGAGGGAAGCAACGGCATCCCACGAGCCACAATGGCAAATTTAGTGGCCGTGAGTGTTTTATTCTGTAGTGAGAATCCTGATGAGGGATCGTGGCTGAAGTGCAGCCTACAGTAACAGCAGCAAGTGTTTCAATTGCTGAGAAATTACTTTAATCATTGTTTTCCATCTCTAAAGTGCAAGTGTACAGCGATGTACGGAACAATCGGGAATTATGGGCAGAGCCAGGGACAGCCTGGAGAGGAATGACCTCAGTGCATTCCTCATTGCTTCATCCATCCATCCCTCCCTCCCCCCCCTGGCACAGCTGGTCTCCCCCACCCTGCCCACCCCATTTCCCCCTCTCTCCTCACAGGTGTGTCTGCCTGTTCAGCTCTCCCAGGCCACCTGAGGAGTCCCTTGTGCCCTTCCCTGCCCATTGCACCCTCCCTGCCCTCAGTAGGTTCTCCGGGAATTATCGGGAATCTGGGCAGTCCCTGTTCTGGGCACTGCTGTGACACGAATCCTCCTGTCCCTGCTGTCCCTCCCTGCTCCTTCCCGAGCTCTCCTGAGCACCAGCAGGGTCCATTGCCTCCCCTGGGCCTGGGGCGAGGCAGGGCAGTGTCCGGAGGGCGCGGAGCGCTCGGAGCCGCTCGTTCCGCGGGACTCGCCCCGCGGCGGTGCCGAGTTCAGGGCGTGCCCGGGGGCTGATGGCCGGAGCCGCGGCCGGCGGCGGGGCCGTGCCCGTTGCGCTCGGGCAGGAGCTGGAAGGTGAAGAACTGGCAGTGGCCCTGCTGCCCGCCGCCCTCCCGGGCCGGGCTGAGCAGGGAGCTGCAGTTCCGGCACTCGTGCAGCGTGCACAGCTCCAGCTGCGGCTGGCTGATCCTGCTCACGTAGCCGGGGCTGGGCGATGCCGAGGATAAAGTCCTCTGGCTGCCGCTCAGGAAGCTGCCGCTGTCTTCCAGGGAATCCCTGCGGGCGTGCTCCAGGGAGCAGCGGTTCCAGGTTCTGTAGCTGTAGGGCCACCAGCCCAGCTGCTTGCGCCGGTGGCACTGGCACCTCAGGATCTGGATGAAAGCCCTCTTGAACTCCTTGCTGGAGCAGGGGTAGATGATGGGATTCAAGCAGCTGTTGAAGTAGCCAAGCCAAAAAATCACCTTGAAGATCGTTTCAGGGGGCTTCAGAGCTGAAAACAGGGATCCTGTCCAGGGGAAACAAGCAGAGAATATCTGAGATAAGGGGTTGGCCTGCCTTTAGGAAGAAACATGTTCGTCAGATCACTGTTACAATCTGTGTCTTAAAACACTTTTATGCATGTTGCTTTCAGTGTTGGTCTTCTGTTATTTTTAAAATGTTATTTTTAAAGCTAATAAGGAAATGTTTCCCATCTGAAAGCTAAAGGAGCA